GCTCACTGCAACCTCCGCCTCCTGGGTTCAAGCAATTCTACTGCCTCAGCCTCCCAAGTAGCTGAGATTACATGTACCCACCACCACACCTGGCTATTTTTTTTTTGTATTTTTAGCAGAGACGGGGTTTCACCATGTTGGCCAGGGTGGTTTCTAACTCCTGACTTCAGGTGATCTGCCAGCCTTGGCCTCCCAAAGTGCTGGGATTATAGGCATGAGCCACCACACCCAACCAATAGCTTTTTAAAATAAATATTCAAATATTTATTGCATGCTTGCTGTGTGCCAGACACTGTTCCAGAATACAATGGTGAACAAGAAAGCCTAAGTCCTGCCCTCATGAGGCTGACATGGGAGAAAGGGAGACAGAAAACAAATAAGTAAAATAATAAATGTATAATACAATTTCAGGTAATAAGCATAAGAAGAAAACTGAAGCTGATTAAAAAGAAGAGTGAGATGGCAGGAAAGCCTATTTTAGGGAGAGGTCAGGGTAGGCCTGTCAGCCGAGGGGACACATGCGTGGCATCTAAAGGAAGTGGGTGTGAACCATCTGGACAGTGGAGGAAGAACACTCCAGGAGAGGAAAGGGCATATGCAAAGGCCCTGAGGCAGGAGTGAGCTCAGCATGTCTGAGAAACAGCAAGATTGCCTATGGATGCAGAAGGCAAGGGGCAGCAGCACATCCTAGGGGTACAGAGAAGTGCCAGGACCCAAGTTGGGTTAGCCCTGTAGGACAGGGTCCCACGCACAGTGCAGGATGGGTCAGCAGGAGGATGATGTGATCAGATTTATGATTAAAAACAATCACTCTGACTGCCAGGTGAAGATCAGACTATGAGGGTGAAGCAACCAGGCTGGAAACAGGACTTGGTGGTCATGGTGGATGGGTGAAGAGTGCCTGCGCCAGGAGATGACTTGAAGTCAGATAGATGTGACCTGTAGGTGACATGTAGTCCATGATGACTCCTAAGTTTCTGACCAAGCAGCTAAGTGGATGGTGGAGTCATTTACTGAAACAGAGAAAAGGGGGAGGAAGGGTGTGGAGGAGAAGGCCAAGGCCACATTTTGGACATGTGAAGTGTGAGATGCTCATAGGATATCCAGCAAAGGTGACAGGTAGGTGGTTGGACAGGAGTCTGGAACTCAGGGAGCCATCAGCATGGAGACCCACGTGGACAAACTTAATTCAGTGATTTCACTGAAAGTTCTGGGACTGGGCAGCGTGACTGCCCAGCGCATGGGTTCTCAGTGGTGTCATACTGCCCCCTAGGGGCTACTAGAAACTGCAGTCTATTTTTGGTGGTAATAGGGTGCTACTGGCATTAGAAGGAAGGGATCAGGGAGGGACTCTAGATGTCCTGCAGTCGCCTACCTAATGGAGAGTTATTCTAAAACCTGCACTTTCAAAAGCCCTGAATAACATTCATGTAGATAAGGAAAATCTATTTATAACGATCTGAGCCTAGAACCTAACTCTATGTTCCATATAAATCCAAATAATTATTTTTTTGTATCAATTTTTTTCATTTCTTTTTGTTCCAAATTTTACTAAGAGATTTTTACTATTTCAAAATATCATGTTACTTTGATTCTGCCAAAACAACATACCTGAATCAATCGACACTACTAAGTGCGGCTCTAGGCAGAAGTACACATATTCAACTACTTCATGTAGTCGTGTCCAAGCATTTGAATACTGAAATGCATATTATGTTATTACAAATTATTTTCCTTTAATTTCCCTTTATATTACAACTATGGCATAATACTGTGGGTTTTTTTGTTTGAGACAGAGTCTCACTCTATCACCCAGGCTGGAGTCCAAATGGTGCAATCTTGGCTCATTGCAACCTCCACCTCCCCAGCTCAAGCCATCCTCCCACCTCAGCCTCCTGAGTAGCTGGGACTACAGGTGTTCGCCACAATGCCTAGCTGATTTTTGTATTTTCTGTAGAGATGGGGTCTTGCCATGTTGCCCAGGCTGGTCTCAAACTCCTTGGTTCAAGCAATCCTCCCACCTCGGCCTCCCAAAGTGCTGGGATTATAGGCATGAGCCACTGCACCCAGCCAATACCGTGTTTTTAATTAGGCATTCACTGGAAGGGTATAGAGCTGAGACTTCCATCTCAGCACACCAGAGCATGAGCTGTAAGAGGCAGGTGCTAGGCTAAAAGGGTGAGAACTATTAAGGTAAAGAGTGAATACAGATAAAGAAAAGCCATGGTGAGCACTGGGTCCCTCCAAAAATTGAGAGACTAGGAGGAAGAAGAGACAAGGGAAGAGACTGAGGGAAGACACCATGGGGCAGAAGGTAAGAGAAGAGGGAGGCCACCATTGTCACAGGAAGGCAAGCAGGCCAGGCAGGAGAGAATGATGCAGGCAGGGGATTAGATCTGGTTGTGGGAAGACTAAATAGTTCTCTTATGATTGTTTCTATAAATAAGTGACACCATCAGTTGAGAGGGAGGTGTATGAAGCAATGCCGGAGGGCTGAGGAGTGAAGAAAAGGCGTGTTTTCCAGTCAGACCATGGATGACAAGTACCTCCGGCAATCTGGGAGGACCACTGGGTATTGCTCATTCCTTAAGACCTGAGCTCCTCAACTCAAGAGGGACCAGATAGCTCAGGGCTGTGCTTTTCTCCAGCACACTGAGTTCTGCACTAGGTAAGGAGCATGAGACAGAGGCAGCGGGCTCCTTGGCAAGAGGAAGGAGAGTGCGTCCAGCGACGGTGCGTGGGATGTGAGTGAGGCAACAGGGCAGTGTGGCGCGGGTGGATGGGCAGCGCATCTATGAGTCTAGGACATGTGCCAACCATGAAAACCCCCAAAAGGATGATGTGGTATCACATGAGGAAATCTGAATATGCACTGCAGATGAGAGAATAGTATTGTAGCAGTGTTCGTTTTCTGATTTTGAGAACTATGTCCTGGTAATATTAAAACTACCCTGTTTCTTATGAAATACAAGCTGAAGTATTTAGTGGTGGATGAACATGAACTCTCCAACTTACTCTCAAATGGCTCTAAAAAAATACGCACTGTCTATAAATATATACAGAAGGAGAATAAATAGGAAATGATGTTCACCAATATAAACAACTGGTGAACCTGAGTAAATGCCAGCAAAGGTGTGTGGGGTTCATCGCAATATTCTTGTAACTCTTCCATGAGCTTGACATTACATAAAATAAAAAGTTACAAAAACAATAACAAGACACCACTGTAGGAGCAGACCCAGGCATTTATGCATCTTCCTTTCCTAATGAAAGGAGACAAATGGGAACTGAAATAAGCCAAAACAAAAAACAAAAAAGCTTTTCAAAGCCCAAAGTTAACTCCACCCTAGCAAGGCTGAACGGTCCTCCTGTGTCTGGTGGCTGGGTCTCCTCCAGACTCCCTGTTTCTCAGCCAGAACCACGGCTCATCCTTCCATCCTGCACAGCCAGCCGCCCTTGCCCAGCCTCCCTTGTCACCACAGATGAGTAGTTCCTACCTGGTCCTGTGTGTTTGAAGATAAAGTTTTCATCATCAAACTTCTTCTTGTAGATGGACTTGCCCCTGGTGCCGTTGTGGTTTGTGAAATCACTGCCCTGGCACATAAACTGGGGGATAATGCGGTGGAAGCTGCTTCCCTTGAAGCTGAGTCCTCTAAATGGGTGTGTGCGTAGTGGAAATTCTCCGGGATTGAGAAAGGGAAAGGTCTGAGGTAAGAATACCTAACTAGATCATTAAAACTCCAGCTCTCTGTAACACGCCATCTCTACAAAAACACAAATAATTAGTTGGGTCCCAGCCATGGTGGCTCATGCCTGTAATCCCAGCACTTTGGGAGGCTGAGGTGGATGGATCACCTGAGGTCGGGAGTTCGAGACCAGCCTGGCCAACATGGCAAAACCCCATCTCTACTAAAAATACAGAAATTAGCCAGGTGTGGTGGCGCACTCCTAGGTGACAAAGTGAGACCCTGTCTCTAAAATAAAACACACACACCCCCAAACTCCAGCTCTCCAAATCAAAAAAAGTACATAGTACCTTTATTTAAACTAAATGCTTAATTGTGGAAGTGGCACACAAATAGATTGAACAGACTAGGTGAAAAGAAGAGAAAGTCCAGAAATAGACCCAGATACGTATGAAAATTCAGTATTTCAGCTGGGCATGGTGGCTCACATCTGCAATCTCAGTACTTGGGGAGGCCAAGGCAGGAGGATTGCCTGAGCAGAGGAGTTGGAGACCAGCCTGGGCAACATGGCAAGACCTCATCTCTATTAAAATATATACATAGGCCAGGTGTGGTGGCTCAGGTCTGTAATCCCAGCACTTTGGGAGGC